GGGCGCGGGGGGTTGTGTAACTAGGAAATCGTGTGAGCGTGGGGGTGGTGAGCGTGAGGGTGACTTGTGTGAGCGGGGAAAGGGGTCGCGTGAGACCGTGGTGGGGGAGGGTCACGTCGCCTGCTGCGGACTGGGAGGGGGGAGCGGTGCAGTACGCACGTGTTTGTCCACGATGAGATGTACCTATGTATATATGTCATAGATATATGTATGTGTATTATGTACTACGTGTGCCCGTGTATCTGAGAGACTGCTGCGAGAAACGCTTTGTCCGGGGTACCCTGCAGGCTAGGGCGTCGTACCCTCTTTTAACAAAGCCATGTCAATGAATATTTATTGCGGAAATCTAGTCGTGGGTAGCCCGGCTCCATTTTAAATATATTTTAAAATCAAAATATGAATTATTCAGTCAGCTACTGCGCATGCGCGAACTCTGATTTTCGACTATTTAGCATAATTAAAATTCTAGAATACTTGCTAATGTACTAAGCGGTAATATAATGGGTTGCATATGCCCAATATCTGTTAAAATAACGACTATTTGGACGAACATATACACATACGTGTATCTGAGAGACTGCTGCCAGAAACACTCTGTCTGGGGTACCCTTCAGGTTAGGGCGTTGTACCATCTTTTAACAGAGGCATAGCGATGGATATTTATTGCAGAAATCTACTCGTGGGTAGCCCGGCTCTATTTTAAATAGATTTTAAAATCACAATATGAAACATAAAGTCAGCTACTACGCATGCGCGAACCCTGATTTTAGCCTACTCAGCACAGATAAAATTTTAGAATAATTACTGACGTACGAGACGGTCATATACTGGGTAGCATATGCCCAGTATCTGTTAAAATAACGAGTATTTGAACGAATTTATACACGCACATGTATCTGAGAGCTGCTACTACTACGAAAACTGCTACTGCTACTGTACTGCTACGAAAAACATTCTGACCTGGGTACCCCGCAGGCTAGGGTGTCGTACCTTCTTTTACCAGAGCCATGGCGATGGATATTTATCGCAGAAATCTACTCGTGGATAGCTCGGCTCCATTTTAAATATATTTTAAAATCAAAATATCAATTATTCAGTCAGCTACTGCGCATGCGCGAACCCTGATTTTAGACTATTCAACATAAATAAAATTTTAGAATAATTGCTAATGTACCAAGCGGTAATATACTGGGTTGCCCAATATCTGTTAAAATAACGAGTGTTTGGACGAATATATACACGTGCATGTATCTGTTAGACTGCTGCGAGAAATATAGCATATATATATATATATATGTGTTCCAACAACTATTTTCAGAGATATAATCTGTCCCACTAAACTCGCAACCTGCTTAACATGCACTCGCCTGTGTTTCTTTATGCTTACTCGAATTCCTTCAAGAGTAGTTTTGGCTTTCACAATACGCCTCTCGGGGATACAAATCAAACCTCTCTCAGAATCGAGAATTGAACCCAAAAACTCCAACACCTGAGTAGGAATCCACAATGACTTTTGCACGTTTGGTACAAACCCTGATTTTAACAAATCTTGTTTGATCTCATTAGACATCAACTGTGTAGATCTAAAATCCCTGTCGCAACCAAAACCATCATCAAGGAACATAAGCATTCTCTTTCCCTCACCCCTCCATTTAGCAACCAATGGCCTAACTACCTTAGTATATACATACGGAACTGTAGAAATTCCAAAAGGCAAAACCAAAAATTTGTACATGATCAAACGTCCGCGCGTGTCTTCCCAAGCAAATCCTAAATACTCTGTATGGGGTAAAAATATATCAATAAAATGATATGCCGAATGAATGTCAAATTTCACCATCCAAAAACCTTGCTCTAAATACATTAACACTAACCTGAGATCCTCATATCTAACAGACTGTTTCCATAAGTGAATATTTACCTCACGCAAATCTAGAATCAGCCGCTTTTTTCCGTTACTTTGAACTGAAACCGACAACGGATTAACAACTCTTGGCGTTGTTTTACATTCCGCAATCAATCCTCTATGCAACAAATCAGAAATGGCTCCACTAACAAATTCATGCTCTTTAAGAGCAGATTTATTATTTTTGATAAATTGTGCTGGCGGATCCGAATAAAAGGGAATTTTGTATCCATTCATAATAATATCCAGGACAAAACTGTTTGCACCAATATCCTGCCAAAATAATACATTATCTTTCAACCTGCCTTTAACAATGATATCTTTTTGCCCTTGTTCATATTCGAAATAATTATGAGTAAAACGTTCATCACTATCAACAACATAATACTCATCTTCTATCGAATCCATGGTACGCTGCTTCCCGCCCGCCCCCGCTCGGGACGCCGTCTCACTTCTTTCCAATAGAGGTGGCGGGTGAGACCCCGGCGGAATGGGGGCAGTCTCGGCGATAGTGAGTGAACTCCCCACAGGCGAAACAGGCTCCGACACCACGTCCTGTGAATGGCGTCCCCGCACGTGACGTTCCTGGATAGGAGGTTCCTTGTGATGGACGAAAATTCCGTATCCCCGGAAAATTTTGCTGTCCTCTCTCTGCGAATCCGAACGAAGGCCCCATCCCGGGATGACCGCCACCAGCAGTAGCATAAGTGCTAGGCCTTGCAGCGTTAAAGTATGGTGACTTGTGCTGGCTTTGTTTCTTGGACTTTTTCTGGCGCACAGCCCGCGCCTCAGCCTTCCGAATACGGGATTCATCATCTGAATCACTAGCCACGGGATTCGCCTCATACTGACGCACTGTATCCCAACCGGCCTCGGACGAATCGGCAATACGAATCAGCTTATTTCTCTGCTTCAACTTTCTGCCAATCTCAGTTAAAATCTCTCTGGCATAAGACACTTTATCGTTGTCACACGCCCACAAGACTTGGGTAACGGAATCTAACAAATCTCAGCCGTGGTACCCCAAAGCGTTACATTTTCATCGTAAAATAAGCTCTTTTAAGCCCAGCGTTTGCGCAGTGTTGTCATACACTGTAGATGCGATGTGCATACACTAAGTTACGATGTAGATTGCGTTTCTGAAGAAGAAGCTATATTTGGTCAGTGTTA